ATTACAATTCTGTAACATAATACAAAATAATAAAGAAAATACAAAATATAAAGAAAAAGAAATTAACCTGCACTTACCTTTGAAAACCTTTGTGGCTGGTGTGAGGGAGACAAGAGAGAGGAGGGTTATTGTGTAGAACGACTCTCACTATTGCTAACGGAATCACTGCTATCTATTGGTGTTTGGCAGAAATCAGGGATTTCAATGGCTCAACGGAATCTTTTTCTTTTTGTGCAACTTTAACAAGGAACCTATCCAATGACACTATCCAATGACAACTCCTTTAGAGGGTTTCACGGAAATGTGACATTTCATTGTTAAACAGTTTCATCGCTTGCACTATTACAGCCTTATTTGGGTGGTGCTTTTCTACAAAATTTTGCACTGTTTCCCACATTTTACACGTCTCCCTAATCTCATTTGAAGTGAGGGATTCCTCCGCCTTTTTCTCCTCCTCCTCTGCAGAAGAGATCTCCTCCATAACCTCTTGCTGTTGCTCGCAATGCAGATCCATCAGTTGGTCGGGGGTCAGCTCCTGGCCATGTTCCTCCACCAGTTCTTGAATGTTGTCCTCATTCACTTCCCGTCCCATGGTCTTCCCCAAGGACACAATTTCATCGACAACTGGCAGCTCCTGTTCATGAGTAAGCCCCTCTAAGTCATGTCCAAGAACACAATCAGGCCACAGTTTTCTCCAAGCAGAATTGAGGGTTCTCTTGGTGACCCCACCCAGGCTTTATCAATAATCTTGAGGCAGTTCACAATGTAGAAATGATTTTTCCCAAACTCTCGGAGGATAAGGTTTGTTCCTTCGGTCAACTCAAAGCATCGCTGAAATAGTGTTTTGGTGTAAAGCTTTTTAAAGTTTGAAATGACCTGCTGACCTGTGGGCTAGAGGATTGGAGTGATGTTGGGAGGAAGGAACTTGACCTTAATGAGCTCGAATTCCTCCAGTAAGTTGTCCTCAAAGCCTGGAGGATGAGCAGGAGCATTATCCATAACCAGCAAGGCTTTGAGTGGCAGATTCTTTTCTAAAAGATATTTCATCACTGCAGGACTGAATACCTTGTTGATCCACTCAATGAACAAGATACGAGTGACTCAAGCCTTGCTGTTGGACCTCCACATAATGTTTAACTGGCTCTTCTGCACCTTGCATTTCTTGAAGGCTCATGGATTCTCAGAATGATACACAAACAGGGGCTTGACTTTGAAATCCCCACTTGCATTAGCACAAAACAAGAGGGTGAGACGGTCTTTCATGGGCTTGTGCCGGGGCATTGCATTCTCTTCTTCTGTAATGTAGGTCCTCTTTGGCATCTTTTCCCAAAAAAGCCCCATCTCATTGCAGTTAAAAACTTGCTCCGGCAGGTAACACTTGGAAACCATGAGCTTCTGGAATTCAATAGCAAACGCCTCAGCTGCCTTAGTGTTCGAACTCACAGCCTCTCTGTGCCTCACAACACTATGGATGCCACTTCTCCTCTTAAAGTTATCAAACCATCCCCTGCTTGCCTTGAATCCTTCTTCATTTTCTGTTGACATACCTGGCAGTTTACTTACGAGGTCGGTGTTCAAGGCCTTTGCCTTCTCACAGATAAAGTTCTTGGTCACAGTATCACCTGCTAGTTGCTTCTCGTTTATCCAAACCAGAAGCAACTTTTCTGCATCTTCCAGAGCACATGGCCATTGCTTTCATATTCTCATGACTCCTTTTGCTGCATCTAGCCCTCTTATTTCTTCTTTCTTCTTTAATATGGTGCAAATGGTCAATGTAGACTTCTTATAAAATCTTGCAATTTTGACCACTCACATACCTCGTTCATACTTCTCGATGATTTCCTTCTTAACTTCCACCGTAATCATCTCCTTCTTCTTACCGCCTTTTCTTTCAACCTTTTTCTGCGTGGGGCCATTGTATATACTTGCATGGATGTTGACTACAGTACAGTACAGTATTAATAAACTCTTGTCATATACTATATTTAATGTAACTGGCAATAAGGCAGTAGAGGAAAGGGTCTATATTTGCAGGCAGCCTGACCTAGGATGAAGCAAAGCATTCCTAAGCTTACTGTTGTATGGAAAAGCAAAGGACTGTCCATAGGTGCTTTGAAGTGATAAAAATTACACTAATGCCAGTTGTGGGCACCTTCCAAAGTTCTGAAAAATCACTTGTTTCTGCCAAACACCACGGCCTGAGACCGAGCATCGGAGCATGGGAGACTATCACCCACAATCCCGCAACGAGATTGAGAGAAGAACCATTGACTCAGTTGTGATCATGTGACATTTGGTGTTGCGTACTAGTCATATTGCAAGACATCGCTTGCTTATCAAGTTAAAATTTATTAGAAATGTTTGCTTGACTTGCGGAACACTTACAGAACAAGTTACTCGCAGTACAAGGTTTTACTGTCCTACAATCTACTCACTTTTCCCCTATTTTTAGACATTTGGGCTTTTTGCCCTTATTCTTTATTATAAATAGCATGGCGAAAAAAAACATCAGCCTGTGTTCTGGGTTGCAAGAAACAGAGATGGACTTTGATTAAAAAAACAGAAAATGAATTTCTTGGGAGACTTGGATAGCTCACAGACTCAGTGGGAAGTTTGGAGAACCAGGTTTGTAAACCAGGAGATACCAAGGTAGCCAGAAACATGGCCATAGAAACGTCTCAGAAAGAGGCTGTACCACTTAGGAGCTGCACCACTGTCATCAGACACTCCCTCTAGGCAATCGCTGCTGTCACCTTCACGGCTACCCACACTGGATACTCACTGCTACTGCTGTCACCTTGAATCACTTTCCCACTTCCCCTGCATCTTTGCATCTCTCTCTGTCTCATGAGTCAAGGTTCAGGGTGTTCACTTCTGATTGGCTGAATCAAGGTCATTTGCTTGTCTTCTTGATGCCAGTGGGTAGGGAGAGAAGGAGTGTCTGATGGGGACCTGTCCCCTGTCAAGAAACATGCAGTGTTTGGTTTCACTGAAGCAGAAAGGGAGATTGGATGCTGGGGTCAGAGGGAGACAAATAGCAGTCTTTTTTTTTTTAATTAGTTTCAGGTGTACAACACAGTGCAATAGTTATACATTTTGCCCCTCAAAGTGACAACCCCCCTCCCTCCCCCTACCTCCCCGATATCATCATATCTATTACAATTCCATTGACCAAATAGTGGTCTTTCTGCATAAGTTTTTGCATGTATTTCTTCTGGTTACCACCTGGGGATTCATTCCTGGTATTGGAGTCACAAAACCAAAGTGTATGAAATTCTTAAGTTTCTATGCCCTCCTTTATTCTAAAAGTGTTCTTCATGATTCTTCTGTCTTTGTACTACGTGCTTCCCTGTGTGACCTCACCCATTCCTATGGTCCAAGAGTTTAGCCACTGTAGATAGATGGATGAATCCAAAACGCTTATTTCCAACCCAGGTCTCTATCTTGAATGTCAGACAAATACATTTAACTACCTAACATGATCTGTGGATATTCTAAGGGCATCTGTGAATATAAGAAGGTCCTAAACAGAATTCATTATCATTTTCCTTCTCAAACCTGCTATGTGTCCTGTATTCCCTAGGTTGGTTAATATGACCACCATCCCCCTAGTTGATAAAATCAGGAATTTAGTGGTTTTTTAAAAAAGATTTTATTGGGGAATTGGGGAAGGGGAACAGCCAAGGTGTTGTCCTTCAGTCTTAGTTGTGGAGGGTGCAGCTAGCTCAGCTCCAAGTCCAGTCGCCATCCAGCCGCCCGTCGGCAGCATAGCCCACCTTCACATGTGGGAGTCCAACCAGCAACCTTGTTGTTAGGAGCACATGCTATCACCATCTAAGCCATCCTGCCACCTGTTGGCAGCTCAGCAGCAGCTCAGCTTGGGTGCAGCATCACTGGCCCATGTGGGAATCGAATTGGCAACCCTGTTGCTCAGAGCTCATGCTCTTAACCAACTGAGCCACTCGGCCGGCCCCCAGGAATTTAGTTTTTATCCTTGATCCTTTCTCTTACTTTACTTTTCCATTAAATTATCTCCAGTTTCTGTAAATTTTACTTCCTAAGTGTCTCTGGAATCTGTCTTATTTTCTGCAGTTCCAGGAAACATTCCTTAGTTTAGGTGCTCGTCACTTTTGTTCTAGAGTATGACTTTTACTTCTTAACTGAGTTTTCTGCCTCCAGTCTTGCCTTTACCAGCTCCAGTTTTAAAGTTCATAGTTGATCATTTTGTCTCTTTGATTAAGGTGTGATTAAGACATTACTTCCTTCAGGAAGCCTTCTTCAACCACTTTGTCCCTTCCTGTCCAACTAACAGAGAGGTTAGGTGACCCTTCCTGGTTCCCATGGTGCCTTGGGCTTACTAGTGCACTTCACACCTTGTTAAAATTGTTGCTGCCAAGAGACTGAGAATTCCTTGAGGGCAGAAACTTGTGAGATTCATATTGAATTGCGAGTGCCCAGTGTAATGCCCGCAACACAGTAGGCACTCAGTGTGAGATTTTTGAATGAATGTTATGAATGAGTTTTAGCTTATTATGAAACTACTGTTAGTTGAACGAGGAGTTAGATGACCAATTAAGCTCAAAATCCAAACAACTGAGTTTATATAGATCCTATGTTACTTTTCAGGTATTTTGAAAATACCATGTCCATTATAGGATAAACATGATTTTTCCCTGTTCAGCACATCACAACCACTTTTTCAAAGTGGAGAAATGAGAATGTTATGAGAACCACATTGTGAGACTTCAAGATTTATTCCACAGGGGAAAAAACCCACAACATGTAAGAAGATACATACTTTATACAGAGTTGACAGATAATGAAACTATAAACTATTAAATTTTTTATTGTTTCACTATCCCAATGTTAATTCTGTGTTTTTGTTTTATTTTGTTTTGTTTGTTGGTCTGAAGTCCTGAGCATTGATGTAGCAGTCTGAAAGGTATATTTGGGGGAAAATGTAGCCTGGGAATGACCTGATGACCCTTGTTTCCTCCTAGGGCGATCAGCCTGGCTGGCTGGTCCCAGGAGAAGGATACACACTTGCAGTCACCCAGCATCAGCAGCTTGCTGAAATTGATACAAAACTCCAAGAGCTCTCTGCAGCCTTCTCAACATCATCCAGCTTTTCTTCAAGACTTGAAAATCAAAACGATCAGGTATGTTTAACTCAAGAGCACACAGACTGTTCAGATTTATGTGTGCTAAAGCTAGTTCATATTTGACAACCTGCTCAATAACTACAGAAGTTCCTTCCCAGGTACTCTCCCCTTGACTACCACTGCAGTGACAGTAATTTCCCTAACAGTGTGTATTTTCCTTTGGAGGCTGCCATTTCTTCTCATTTTTATTTCAGTAGGCAATTTGCTGGGATGGGGTCACTGGGGAAGTACTTATATTGTTATTCCTTTATGATTTAAGCTATTGATTGTGATCAGGAGAGAGGAGAGAGAAGAAAATTGAGATAGCACTCATTAGTCCTTGAAGAACCTTATTTTTCTTTATTCTTCTAGTTCCTCTAGCGACCACTTGTCCCTTATTCTGCCACATTCTTCTAGCTCTTTTAGTTTAACATTACGCAATGAAACTCACTAGGTTGATGACTTCTCTACTGTGAGGGTTTTGAAATGAATGTGTTTCTTCCCTCGATAGTTCCCTCAAATATTCTTTTACAAAGCTAGTAGAAGGTGTAGAAAAACAAAAGAATAATCGCAGCTTTGGGAAAGGAACATTTCCATTCTCCACCCCCATATTTCAGTACTTCATGGGATCTGGTTTGGGGTTGGGTAGTAGTTTTCACCTGAAGAGAAAATGGCAGCTTGTAATGTTATTCTAGTAAAGCCTCTGCCAGTTTTGTAAACACTTCTCCAGATCATCTTCTGTACAATCTTAGATGCATATGATTTTCTTGGCCCTTAAAAAAGTTTAAATATCAGTAGTCTGTAGGTAGTAATTTTGCCTTATAGTGACTCTTGTCTCCAAGCTATCAATCAAGAGTTAGGGATTTGGCTTTGGGTCAGTTGAGACTACCTCAGGGGAAAAGAGTAGTGTTAAAATGTTCCAAAGAAAGTTTGGTCACTGGCAAACCTTTATGCAGCCAACTCAGTTTCCTTAGGTTATGTTTTTAAGGGTCAGGCACAGCTGCTTCTGAGCCCTTTACACAGCAATAGTGATGGTAGCGGAAACCACTAATTTCTGGATGGGATCAGAGTTCTTGGAAAACAGAGGACTGGAATCTCTGTCCCCACCCAAACATACCCCAGGACTTTAACCCTAATTACATTGCTAGTTTATTTGTTACTGGGTGCCATTTCTCAAAAGGAGGGAGCCAAGATGAAGGAATCAAATTGTTCAGGGATATTCTGTATTCTTTTCATGTTACAGCTGATTTGTTGTTGTTGTTAGATTTCAAGGGTAGTTGCTATCTCAAAGCCGAATTATGGTCCTAAAGATAGCAAATGTCTTTTTTCATGGTTGTCAAATGTTATTCTTGAAAGCAAGACTGAGAATTTAGAGATTTGTTTAGCTAATAGGACTTCAAATAAAGCACGACTATGGTCAGATTCTGTCATCATCATTAGGTCACATTTTCAGAGTTTACATTTGCGGTTCTGATAAAAGATTTAAAAGCTAATAAAAAGGAAAGCCAGTACATTACTTAGTTGTTACATACTGAGATTATATATTTTTATGTGAAACAACATATATTTAGAGAGAAAAGAGAAAACTGCATTTTGGGGCTCCCAGTGGATGCAGAAACAGAAATATAACATTATAGTTCTTGAAAAGAAACAATTAATGCTTCTTGCGTGTAGAAAAAGAATATCCTTTGAGCTTTTGTTCAGTTTCCTCTTGGCATTTCCTCATTTCTAACTAAAACCAGCATTGCATATTGAATTTTCAAGCCAGAAATGCTAACATGGCCAATTATTTTACAGACATTATTTTTGGATGGGAATTCTTTTTGAATAAATACACTGAAAAATATCATGGATAAACCTAGCGTATCTATTCAGCAGATGAATGGGATCCAATCTATTGCTTAACCACACATATTCATAGTGATTATTCATATTATTTTTATTTTTAACCCTTCTGCAAGCCATTAGCTCATCAGTAATTTGTCTCCATGCTCCTTAAGAAAAAACATCTTTTAAGTGGGCTACAAAATTTCTGTTTTTTGACAATCAATTCAACACATATTAATCAAGTTCTCAGTGTGTGCAAGGAATTATAGGGTACTTAAAGATAAGTCAGGCAAATACAGGCTGTGGAGTCTAAAGCCTCGTTTCAAGTTCTGAGGACTTGGGCATTAATTAGAAACACTCCAAACCCTGGTTTCCTCATCTATAAAGTAGTAATAATAATATTATTCTTTAGGGTCCTTTTAAAGGGTAGGTGAGTTAATATATGTCAAATACTTAGCACAGTGTCTGACACAGAATTCATCCAATGATATAATAATAATATAATAATAATAATAATAATAATAATAATAATAATAATAATAATAAAGTACTTAAGGAATTTATTTCCTTGTGGGAGGCACAGATCATGCGTACAAGTAGATAACTGTGGTACAAGGTAGCACAATAGAAGGCTATAAGCAAAGTGCTGTGGTGACTCGGAACAGAGAGAAAGCACTTCCAGAAGGAATAGCAGGAAAGTGCATTTCCACAAGTAAGGGACAAGACGGGGAAGAGGCAGTGAACGAGACAGAAGGAATCAGAGGCCCAGGAGAAGGCTGCCGCCACACAGCAGGAGGTTCAAAACTGGTGGCCTGCAGGGCAAATTTGTCTCACTGGTGGGTTTCCTTTAGCCCACATATTGTTCACAATCTTTCCCCCCCCCCCAACATTTAAAAATTGGGTGAACTGATATAAAAATCCAAATTTCTAGTTTCTCTTGAAAAATGAGAAACTCTGGCAGCGTTAGGCCTGAATCCTTGCTTGGTCGACTACAGGACTGAGCTGAGTAGCACCTGCTGCTTTAAATGGAGCACAGACGCTCCAGTTGGCCACGGTATCCACACTCCCTGCTCTACTGCCGGCCTCGAGGCCCACCACACGCATTCATGTTCCTTGTCCAGCCCCTGCAGAGGCCGTCAGAACGCAGTCGAATGCCTGCTTATTCACAGGAGATGTGAAGTATCCAGCTTAGTATGTGGCTCCATTTCTGACCTTACAGCAGCTTGTGGGAGACTCCAGGGTGGGATGTAAACACAGAGCACCTTGTGGAGTGACAATGCAATGAAGCAAAAAGTACCACAATATGGAACGGATCTTAGGAAAAGCAGAGAAAGTGTATATGCTGGGGGAGCACAGAGAAAGAAAAGTTTCTTTGATGAAGGCGTGCTGTTTAAACAATCCCTTTGGCGATGTTGAAATTTTGGTCAAGAAAACAGTTTCCCAAACAAGTGGAAACATGCAGACTTTCTGAGTAACCCATCTGTGGCAACTAGAAGGTGCTAAGTTGGTAGGCACATGAGCCCAGGATGATAAATGTACCTGAGTCAGAATAATTTGCGGGACTCCAGAAATGTGACTCAGAGATTAAGCAAGTGTTGGTTGTGAAAGAGGCAGAGAGGAAAACTTCTTTTCCTTGTGAGCTTGCTGATTATGATGTTCTCATATAGACACCCTGCCCTGGCTCCTAACTTTATGGCAATGTTTTAAAAGCAGATTTGGCTTTTACATATCCGATTTCCTTAGTGTAAAACAAAGCATGTGGTCACATTCAGAAAAAAGAATGGCGTATTACTGCTATTGCTGTAATGTGAGTAATATCATGTGGTTGCAGTTTTTACATCTGCTTTTTATTTTCATTTCATCTGAGCAAAGAGAACTAATTGAAGCATTTTTTTCCCCTTAAGACCTGTGGTTTAACTGTGCATACTTTTCTGTACCCATCTCCTAACTGTCCAACAAATCAGTTCTTTCCACGTATTGAAAATCCCACCATAAAATTGAGTGAGGTTCCATAATTTAGGACTGTAGTTCTTATTTGTAGCTGTATTAAATTCCAGCTTTCTCCAGAAATATCTAACATATAGGAGTTATGTAGGCATTCAGTTTCTTAAATCCTTACCAACTGGATTCAATAATAAATTCTGTTCAATTTGGCTCTTGCAAAGAAGTGTAATTTATTCATCTCTCATGCAATCAGTCTTACTAAATCTAGAATTCCAGTTCATGGTTAGACTTTTTTTTTTCTCATTGGGAGAGGGTCTTCAGAAATGGTTCTCATTGACAAGAGGTATTTCTTTGTTCTCAAAGCAAGTTGTTTTATTGAATATAAAGTTCCTCCTTAATTTGATTTATTTTCTTATTCTTAATTATATATATATATATATATTTTTTTTCTCTTGTTCTTAAAATATTGATTCAGTTGTGCACAAGTTGGTAAGACCAACAAAAAATATCAACAAACATTTGATGGAGGAAAATTGTAGTTGTACTTATCTCTTTTCTTTCCAAGAGCATACATACATTGCTGACAGCAACAATTAATTGTTTTTGCCTTCTCCTGTTTCAACATTATCTAAAACTGAGGAAATATAAAACGTTGTTTGACAGGTAATCTTAAAAGATGTTTTATTGTTGAGTTCAGGGATTTGCAGCATTCTAACAATGGCCATGCAGTCCAGTTGACATCAAATTAGTATACAGGTTGAAGGCAGGAATCTAGGAATTTTTTATGTGTGCTAGTCACAAGCACAGAAATCTTACCGGCTATCTGTTCATTTCTAAAAACTATAGAAGTATGCCACTCTTAATAGCATGGAAATCTGGATTGAGTAATAAACAAGAAGTTACTTCAGAGGTTCTTGTGTCTAATGTTAACCTATCAGTCATTCCCAATCAAATCTAGGGAATTCTTGCCATTTGTGTTGGAGTTTATACTTCTTCTTCTTTTTTTTTTTCTTCTGTATGTTAAGCCTCCTGTGTAGTCAAGGTTTCTTTCATTTAATGGCAATATTCCAAGATGATAAAAACAAATGGGCTGAAAGATTTTTTTCCTTATTTTTAGTACTGCCAAGCACATGACCCATCTAATGATAGGAAATAGCAGTAGCCTTTGGAAATGTATAGCGTTAGCTTGAAAGCACAGGGCAAGCTGGCTTAATTAAGGCAGGTTTTTATTTTTATTGTCCTTAACTCATGCCTTATTTGCATGTTAGATAACTTATGAATATGTGAGTAATTTCCTCTGTATTTGACTTTTGGAAATGAGTTTACTTTACTTCAAAGACCCCTGTTGCCTCAGTCAACACCACAGATATTTTTCTAAGGATGAACTTAGAATTCCTTGGCAATCAATTAGTCAAATCAACAAATATCTATTGACCCCAGGCACAATTCTCTTTTTGTGGCTTCTTAAAGATTCTGTGCATATCATGAGAGCTTTAACTGAACTGAACTTTACTTTTTTTTTTTTTTAAAGCTTAATGAAATTTCTTTTTTAATTGGGGAATTGGGGGAGGGGAACAGACAAGTTGCTCTCTTTTTGTTCTTCAGTCTAGTTGTAGAGGACACTGCTTCACTGGCCCATGTTGGTATTGTGATCTTTGCGCTCTTCCCGGGTGAGGCAAATCTGTCGCCAGCCATTGGACGGCTGCTCACAGCAGCTCACAGCAGCTCACGGCAGCTCATGGCTGCTCACGCTGGCTGCCGGCCACTCACAGTAGCTTATGGCAGCCCACTGCAGCCCTATTGTAGCGTACGCCTTCGCCGGCGACTCAACGCAGCCCAGCTCCAGGTTGAGCTGTTGTTCACCATCTCAGCTGTAGAGGGCCCAACATCACTTGTCCATGTGGGATCCGAACCAGTGGCCCTGCTGCTCAGAGCTCGTGCTCCCAAGCCAACTCTTAACCAACAAGCCATTTGGCTGGTCCCAAACTTTTTTCTTTCTGTGTCTTTTCTTTGCCTACTCAAAGATTAAAACAATTATAGTTGTAGATTGTTAAAACGATGTCCTTTTTTCCTTTTTAACAAATGATTTTTGTTTAAAAATGAAATCTAATTTGGAAGTTTTTCAGATCACTATGTGCCATAGACTGAAAGTTTGTGTCCCCCAGAATTCATATGTTGAAATGTAATCCACAATGTGATGGTGTTTGGAGTGGGCCTTTGGTAGGTGATTAGGTGATGATGATGGGGCCCTCATGAATGGGATTAGTGCCCTTATAAAAATGACCTACAGGGCCGGCTGAGTGGCGCGTTGGTTAAGAACTGGCTTGGGATGCCAGAGGGCCCCAGTTCGGATCCCACATATGAGGGCCAGTGACACTGCCCTCTACAGCTAAGATGCTGAACAACACCTCGACCTGGAGCTGGGCTGCTGTGGGTCGCCAGCGATGGTATAGGCTGCAGCCCCTGCTGCAGTGGGTTGCCATGGGCTACTATGTGTAGCCAGCAGCCGTGAGCGGCCAGCAGCCGCCGTGAGCAGCCGTCCAGAAGCCGGCGACTGATCTGCCTCGCCTGGGAAGAGTGCAATTATGGTGCCAACTTGAGCCAGTGAAGCAACATCCTCCACAACTAGACTGAAGAACAAAAGGACAGCAACTTGTCTGTTCCCCTTCCCCCAATTCCCCAGCGCTGTTCCCATCCCCCAATTCGCCAATAAAAATCTTAAAAAAAAAAAAAAGACCCATAGAGCTCTCGTCTCCCTTCTGTTGTGCGAGGACACAGCAAGAAGGTGGCCCTCTAGGAACCAGGAAGCAGGCCTTCACCAGATATGAGTGCTAATATAGTTTCAGGATTATAGTTTGTGTTGGGATACAGGGTTGGATCAGTCATGGTCCCAGTCTGGGCAGTGACAGTATGGTAAGTACAATGAGGGAACACGTGGAATCCTGGAGAGAATAGCTGCCCTTCCTGGGTATGTCAGGGAATATTTTATAGTGAACATATGTTTGTGTTGGACTCAAAAAGAGTAGGAGTCTCCATGACGAGTTGGAGGGAGGGGGCCTTGAGTGGGGGAGAACTAGCCGTAGTGAATATTGCTGAGGCTTTGGGTCTGAGATGCAGGCAATGGGAGATGAGACTGAAGAGATAGGCAGGGCCCAGGCCACAAGCAGTGAGGACTCTGCACCTTGCTCTGCGGCTTCTTTGCAAAGGGTGGAATGGACAGGGAGATGGCGGCACCAAGCCCAGTGAAGAGGCTCAACAGTAGCTCAAGTCGATAGTTCTCAGTTTCTCAAGTAATTGTGCTTCAGGTTGTCAGTCCTCAGTCCTTACCTACTGAATCAGAATCTCTGGGGTGGAGGCTGGCCCTTTGAGTGTTTCCCCAGTCTCTGTAGCTAAGTCCACAGCACACTGGTTCAAGTGAGTGAGGATGAAGCAGTGAGAGAGAGAGAAGGGCCATGATTAAAGAGGTATTAGAAGGTACATGGTGACTATTCTTGATGACCAAATGAATATAAGGAATGAGAGTGTGAGAGGATTCTGCCTTGAGCAACTTCAAAAATATCATCTAAGCCAGTAACCTATATGGCAACACAGAGTAGGAGATCCGTGGGGGAAAATATGGGAAGTTTAGTTATAGTTATAAGACTGACTTACTGTCAAGAAATACCCATTTATATCACCTAGAAATAATTTAACTTTGGGAGAATATGGTTCTGTGAATTCAACGATTGCTGATAATAATAAAATACTTTCATTATATGGTGCTTATTCTTTTCAAAGGACATATTTGGCTCATATTTGCTAGGCACTAAGATTTGTTTCATGCTTACTATGTACTGTGATGACTTTTAGGCTAGATATTATTATAATATTATTGTTATCATTATCATTATCATTATCATTTTGCAGATGATGAAACTGAAGCTCAGAGAAGTTAACTGATTTCCCTAAGGCCATCTTAGGAACCAGGGAGAGCCAGCCAGGATTCAAAACTCTTGACTCTGCCAAGACCAGTTCTCTTTTCACTATTAACAGAGCTTTCTCTCATAACATGGATGGGAAGGGTTTTTATGATCATTATTTGTATATGATGAACTTGAAATCCAGAGCAATTGTGATTTGCCCAAGATTCTAAGCTGATAAGTACAGAACAGGGGCTAGAGCCCAGGCCACTGTTCTTTTCGCTCTAACTTCCTGCTTTCCATGTGATTGAGTTTATTTCCCTCCTTGTTTTATGTACAGTTGGACCTTTCCCTTTTAAAATAGGAAGAGTTTAGAGAATTATAAATATCATTTTTAAGGGAACAAATATTGTTTGAGAAGCAAAGCCAACCTTTAAGACTCAGTTCCTTTAGAGTGGTGTGTGACAGTATATTTTCGGCTGGTGCATGCATTTTTTTTTTTTAAAATTAGGAGACTGACCTTAATGGTGATGATAGAAATATGGAAATAACTCCAGGAGAAGAGGTACTTCGGAACACCAAAGAGGAACGGGATCAGCAAAATCGGCTGAGAGAGATTGATGAAAAGCTGAGACAGATGAAGGAAAATGTGGTAAGTCTTTTTTTTAATTTAATCCTATTAACTTGGTTGATCTTCATGCCTCATTAAGTTTTAACCAGTATGTCTACTTTGTTGCCATATCTACCTAATGAGAGTCAGGCAATAGATATAAAAGGAATGAATGCATTGTGCTTCTCTTTATAATTCATTTTTACTTACTTTTCATGGGAATTATATTCAGGGAGACCTCTATTTTTATTTTCTGAGGGATGTATTTCTTCTTGAGTCTGTTGAATGGGGAAGAAGTAGGAATGGTTAGGAAGTGTAAAAGGACTTTGGGTCAACAGTTATGGTGGTGGTGATGGGGTGTTTCAAACTTGATGTAGAAAATAAAATGTTTATGGTATGACTGGTTTTGAAAACTAGTTTTGAAAACTGTTGGTACTTTTCACCCACACCTGTCAATCTAAGTCAGGCAAAGCCTATCATTCTCCGTAATTCAGTTTTCCTGATTTCTAATCATTTAGCATATGCCTTGGACATGTATCTTTTCTTTTCTACCATGTCTTTATCATTATTTAATTTTGGACTCAAAATCTGGGTCCTTTAAGAAGTCTTATGTGTTACTCCAGTGTCATATGAAGGATGGCTAGACTTAAAGAGATGTAATTAATATTAAGAGTTGGTTGGTATCTAAGTGGAAAAGAATAATATATAAGTCGAGGAGAGCAATTATTGTGTACCTACTATGTGCCAGGCACTGTTCCAAGTACTTTTTAATTTATTAACTCATCTAATCTTTATAACCATTCTAAGAGGTAAACACTACCATCCTCATTATGTAGATGAGGAATGGAGGCACTGAGAGGTTGAGTAACTTCCTCAAGGTTATTTAGCTAGCAAGTGGAAGAGATAGGATTTAAATAGTTAGCTTTTAACAACTGTGCTATATTGCCTTTTTCGTGCGTATTTATTTTTCATGATTAATATTGTTTTTTGATAGTAAACGTATGATAAGTTTGTTATAACCAGTAATATTTATGGGTAAAATGTTTGGAACCCCTCATATAAATAATAATTTCACAGTTTTGTGCTTTATACCTTCAGAAACTAGTATCTGGTTGATAAAGACATGTGGGTATTAATCTGTACTGTTTTTGTGTTTCAACTGCTTAGTATTTCATAATATCCTATGAACCATATTGTGTGCTGTGTGTGCTTTTGAGGGAAAATACTGTGTCTCTCTCAAACTCTGTAAAGCCCATTGTGTCTCACAAACCTCTAGCTATGTGGATTGGGAATCTGGAGACCTGTGTCCTTTTTTCACTGTGGTCAGTAGCTCCGTTACCTTGAATATGTCACTTAGTCACTTTGAGACTTGGTTTTGTTACTTTAAAATCAAGCGAGTAGGGCTAGATGACTTTGTACTTTTGCATGTGATTCTTGGCATACTTATTTTTGGTGAGAAATGATATTATTTATAGTATCTGAAGCTCAGTTTGTGTGCTATCTAAATATTTAGCATTAATTGGTTTAAATCTTCTAAAGAACAAAATAAACGAACAAAGAAAACAGGCACAGACTCAGAGATACAGAGAACAAACTGATGGTTGCCAAAGGGAGGGGGTTAAATTGGGTAAAAAAGGTGAAGGGATTAAGAAATATAAAATGGTAGTTACAAAATAGCAACAGGGATGTAAAGTACAGCACAGAGAATATAGTCAATTATGTTGCAACAGCTATGTATAGTGGCAGGTGGGTACTAGACTAATCCAGGGGAAATCATTGCCTAAATTATATGAATGTCTAACCACTATGCTGTACACCTGAAATTAATATAAAATAATATTGAGGGCCAGCCGAGTGGTACATTGGTTAGGCGTTGGCTTGGGACGCCAGCTCTGAGCAGCAGGGCCCCGGTTTGGATCCCACATGAGGGCTAGTGACACTGCCCTCTACAGCTAAGATGGTGAACAACAGCTTGACCTGGAGCTGGGCTGCCATGAGTTGCCAGTGACGGTGTAGGCTGCAGTGGGGCTGGCCGGCAGCTGGTGAGAGCTTCCGTGAGCTGCTGTGAGCGGCCGTCAAGTGGCCGGCGATGGATCTGCCTCAGCCGGGAAGAGCGCAATGACAATACCAACATGGGCCAGTGAAGCGACGTCCTCCACAACTAGACTGAAGAACAAAAGGAAGCAACTTGTCTGTTCCTCTTCCCCGATTCCCCAGCACTGTTCTCCTCCCCCAATTCCCCAATAAAATCTTTAAAAAATAATAATAATATTGAATGTCAACTGTAACTTTAAAAAAATAGGTAAATAATTTAAAAAAATCTTTCATTGAAAGTTACTTTTGGAAATAAGACTTTTTTAGGAGACTGTGAGATTGTCATATACAGAGGGTGCCAAAAAATATATATACTCATTTTAAGAAAGGAAACTATTAAAATTGTAATACTCACTATATACCGATAACAAAAGATGCATACAAGTCACCTTTGACTTCTGCAATCACAAGAGGTGCTCAAAGTGGTTACTATCAGTGTATAGACACTTCTGATTATGGAGAACTACTGCTTGAGCAATGTTGGCCAAAGTGTTCACTTGTGTCATTTTTTTGGCACCCCTGGTGTGTATAAGTTAGCCTGCCACCTGCAGACCAGAGAATATGATTTCTGAATGATAGCTTCTGGGAATGGCTAATTTTGCAGTTTTATCTTATTGTCCCTCTCACAATAGAACATTGTTTCAAGAGCACTGATTTGGGTAATAACAGTAATCTGTGGCCATTGAATTAGTGATTTAAAGATCAAATCGATATTCAGTCTTAGGGATGAAAGAGAGAAAGAGTGAACTGATGGACAATGTAAGAACCCTGGGAGGTATTCCTGGAGCCATGTGGACCCCAGGATTGATTTGTCAATGACGGCTGGAAAAGTGACTTAATTCTGTGTTTCAGATGGTTACTGAGGCAGCAGATGCACATTTGTCAAGACTGGTTGAGGAAGAGGGATTCGATTTCGTCCGAAGGTGGTGGTGGTATTTTTGCCATCTAGCTAGTAGGAGCTAGGGAAGTAGGCACAGCGAAATGACGCGGAGGTTCATAAATGTAATAGGAGATTCAGTGGACCTACAGGGCAGGGACCCTTATCACCAGCTGCAAAAGTAGAGGAAAGGTTAGCTTAGAAGTAGCATATTGAAATACATCTTTAGGAGTCCCTTAGTATGAGTCAGCAATGTAATATAGTGGTTATGGTATACGTGAAGGGTGCGGTAAGCACAATGGATCACATTTGGATAGTAGAATGACAAGGATGAGGATGAAATTTAAAACCATGTCATATGAAGGGTTGTTGAGGGGACTGAGTGTATTTATTTAGCCTGGAGAAGAAAAGACGTGTACGTGTGTGTGTGTGTGTGTGTGTGTGTGTGTGTGTTGTGGGGAAGGAGGGGCGGGCTGGCTTGATAGAAAAATCACACATGATAACTTCCCAAAGACATTTAAAGAGCTGTCATTTGAAGTATTAGCTTTATTCTTTATAATGTAGAAAAAAAAGCGTGGCGATTAGGAAGCAATAAAGAGACACATTTCTGACAAATAGCAAAGAAGAAAGTTAGAATTATCTCAGTGGAAAGGCTCTGTCTGGGGCAAGGTTTTCAAATTAGACTTGAGTGACACTTGCTGGTAGCTGTAGAGGGGGTTTAAGCATCAAAACAGTGGCTGGATGGTCTGGGTCAGTTTCTTAGCATGAAGCAGGCAGTTTGTGTATGGCGAATGTGTGGAGGTGTTGTGCTTTGAGCTTTTTTTCACGTGTGGAGGGAGGATTTGTGCTGAGCCTCTCACATCTTGCCTAATTGGCTCCCATGGGTTAGCAGCAGTATTGGCTTGGACCAGGGGTCGGCAAACTTTTGAGACGGAAGAGCTGCCAGGGGTCGGCAAACTGCGGCTCGCGAGCCCCATGCGGCTCTTTGGGTACGTACATGTGGCTCTGAAGTAAAATTGAAAATGAAAATAAAACTATCATAGTTTCATTTATAACATTTTAAAAGGATATTATTCACATAATGGTGATTTATGTAAAAATATATTTATGGGTCTCGAATAATTTTTAAATTGTTATGAGGGACAGGATTGGCTCTTCCAGGGGTCGGCAAACTTTTGAGATGCAGCATACCCAAAGAGCCGCAGGCTAACTACTTGTGTGGAGATAACTTGAGATGGTAGAATCAAGAGACAATGAAAATAGCCATGCTCCTAGAATAGGCAACACAAGGCAGACCCCTCAGACACCCTCTGCATCATTTGCCTTACAGTGGACACTGGTCCCCCTGACCCCTGATTTTCCCTTCTATTGTTTTGGGTGCTTTATAAGTTTCTCTGCCCATTCAGTCTTCTAACCCCACCCTGCTTTATATTACCTCCCTGGGCTATAGTCCTGCTATGTAAACTTCTATACGTGGGCCATAGTGGCTAAGAGCCAGTCACTGAAGCCAGACTTCTTGAGTTTGACTCTCAAGTGTGTACTTACTGGCTCTGTGACCTAGGGCAGCTCTCCTCATCTCTTTGTGCTTCCATTCCTTGATCTGCAGATTGGGGATAGTTACAACTAATACCTACCTCCTAGGCGGTTAGGAGGATTTAGTTAGTTAACATATGTAAACTGCTTTGAAAAGGGTTTGGCACGTTTTAAGTGCTATATAAATGTTTATTATTAGTATTTCTGTTGCTATTAACATTATTAATATGGCATTTACATAGCTTGGTTTTATGATAAGGAAGGGGAAGGAAAGAGTATAGACGATGATAAGCCTTGGAGAAGAATCAAGATGCCCTTTTTCTGACTCAGGATGAAAGGCAGGTTTAGAGATGAAGAGAAGGTGAAAGGTCATGCCTGAATGTTCTCTATTTGCTCTGTAAGTTAGAGACCAAGCCATAGGGTCAGCGTGAGAAGGTGGAGTAGGGATGGGGCCTTGACCCAGGGTAGGAAAGGAAGAGACCCTGTGAGGATGACAGAAAAAGCAGTGGTGAACAATGAAGACAACACACCCGAGGTG